AATGTTTGATGTAGGCTCAAATTTGAGTGTTTAGAACTTCAGCTCTATATAAATTTTTTCCATATATATATATATATATATAGAAAGTTAGGATTAGCCCATTAGCTCATATGAACATATGAGCCCAACGGTCCAGATTGAACATAGACTGATATGACGATCACGGATGTCCAGTAGTGCTTGAATTATATGAACCCAACGGCCCACATTAAATCTGAGCCGATTTGACGATTACGGATGTCTAGTAGTACTTGAATTTTAATTTTAATTTTTTTACAAATCCAAATCACTTGAAATTTTAAGTGTGTGTTCTTCTCATCAAGGAGCACCTAATAAAAATATAAAAAAAATTTATTCGTGCAAAAAAAAACCAAAATACCCCTTGATGCTTTTCGGGGGTATTTTGATCAATTTATTTCATGTAAAATACTTTTTTGATATTTTTGAAAGATTCATCTACTTTTGATAAACACATATCTAAAATTTCAAGTGATTTGGATTTGTAAAAAAATAAATAAAATTCAAACACTACCAGCGTGATCGTCAGATCGACCCATATTCAATTTGGGTTGTCGGGCTCATATGTTCATATGAGCTAGCAGGCTAATCCCAACTACTTTTTCATATATATATATATAGTTATCTTAGGGTGCTCACACTATGGAGTAATGAGTAATTTATCATTGTACTCAACAAATTTGAACACTTATAGACCCTTTTTTTTTTTTCAATGAAGCTTTATTTATTAAGAGTGTTTTTTGTCATTAAAAAGGGTGTTACATTATCCACATGAGGTGTGATATCATCCACATCATTAAATGCGACTAGTGTGCTTCATGTGGGTTATGTCACACCCCATAAGGATGATGTCGCACCCTCCTAATGACCAAAAATACCCTCATTAAGAAAATGCCCTATGTAAAAAATAAGGGTATAAAAGTTTTCATAATTTGTTGAGTACAATGATAAATTACTCCATAAGCACCCTAACATAACCAATATATAGATAAATACATAAATATAAATATAAATATAGGAAAAAAATATGAATAGTAATATAAATAAAATCTCAACTGTCCGATATTCATCGAGTGGTTCAAAATACATATCACTGTTTTAGTTTTAATTTTTTTATAAATCTGATTAAAATAAAATTTTGGATGTATATACTTAGCACTATTATGCACCATATAAAAAGATAAAAAAATTACTTTCAATAATTTAAAATGACCAAATTACCCCCATCATTTTTCAAGGGTATTTCTGTCATTTTATATTTTGGGAAATATTGTTTTTATATTTTTAAATTTGCGCCGTATTTTTATTGAACAGTCTAAAATTTCATTATAATCTGATTTCTAGAAAAAATATTAAAATTCATATAATAATATGCATTCTGAGCCACATGATGAAGATTTGACGGTTGGGATTCTACATATATTACTATTTATTATAGCTGTCAAGTGTTTGGGAAGTTTAGTCTCATATATATATATATATATATGAAAAATGCTGAGATTAGCCCACTAGCTCATATGAATATATGAGCCCAATGGTTCAGATTGCATCTGGGCTAATCTGATGGTCACGACCTCATTTCGTGTTTGAATTTAAATTTTTTTTTATACAAATCCAAATAATTTGAAATTTTAGGCGTCCATTCTTCTCATCAGGCGCACCTAATAAAAATATTTAAAAAATAATTTGTAAAAAATAAATTGACCAAAATACCGTCGAAACTTTTCAGGAGTATTTTAATCAATTTTTTTTAC